GGATTCAGAGGATGGTAGTATGATTTCAGGTATTGCTAGAAAGAGATCAAAATGACCTGCTTTGAAAAGAGAAGGGAATTTATGAGAAGGACCACATCATCGGGACTGGCAAGATACTCTACCTCTGCAAACTGGAGGTCTTCCTCAGACACATCATCATCATCGTCACCACTGGGCAGGGGCAGGGACCAACACTGAGTCCAGCTCAAGAAGAGGAAGGCAGCCAGGACACCTGGGAGCATCTTGAATGGCTATGCCCAGAGGCTGCTGACTTTCCACAGACAAGCACCTTGACTTTTATAGACTGAGACGTTGAGTCATCTCTTATGGATATGTTTCAACTTCCTAGTCAGTTGAAGGTAAACATGCTTACAGGGCAACTTTTTTTTTTCCTCCCAAGTGTGGTTTGTGGTAGAATTTGAGGGAAATATAAAATGAGGGCATCTCTTGTTTCAGAAGGGTCTCAAAATCCATCTGGCCAAATAAACAGCCTCAGCATATTTATGGATAGTGTGGGAAGAAGCAGAGAGTAGTGAATTTTTCACTTCACTTGAGAAAATGTTTTTTTTGCTTCCTGTAGTAAAGCACCTACTTTTACTGTTTCAGNGTATGTCCAGATACAAGAGAACTTTTTTCCTCAAAAAGTTTGTGGAAAAATAGAATTAAAGTATAATATAAGTATTTTCATGAACTTTTTGAAGTGCCCTCTTATCTGATCATTTGGCATCTTGAATTTACAATACAAAGATGTTTAATATAACTTATTTTGCATGCCAAAAGTTTAGAATTATATTAACATAGTCCAAATAAATGAAGTGGCTCTGTAAAGTTCCTAGAAAGAGTGGAACTCTCCGTATTTAGAAGTCTTGTAATAAATATGCCTGATGTAATACATTTGTTCATTTTTGTGAACCCGCTTTTACTTCTACTTTGGTTTTATCCCTGAAAGAAATACTTTGAGATGCCCACTGAAAACTAATGCTGGGTTAATGTAACAATAACAGATGTTATGAGATATTCTTAGCAACAGTATCAAAGCTATTCCTGGACTTACTTAACTACCAATTAAATATTTAAGGCCTACTTAGTACTATAAGAAAAAAAATTGACACGTATTAAAGAAACATAGCCTATGATTTACCTGTATGTTAAATTCATTTTGGACCATTTGAGAGTTCGAGGGAAAACATTGTATTCCCCTACATCAGGGACCCCACATCTTGGTTTTTTCATGACATCTAAGGTGTTATCGTCAAGTTTGCCAGTCACCTCTAAGCCAAAAAAAGACTGCATTTCTCGGAGCCTGTCAACCATGGAGCTTACTGCAGTCTTCTTCAGGATTCCCGCAGGATTCAGAGGATGGTAGTATGATTTCAGGTATTGCTAGAAAGAGATCAAAATGACCTGCTNGCTTGGTTCCCACACCTCTGGGAATACCCTGTAAAACTAGAGCTGTAGGTAAGCACATGGCCAATTTCAAGTTTCTCAATTTTTATTTTTATGTTTGAACAATAGAAATACGCTTGGTCCAAAAGCCATGAAAATAGACCTGGGAGCATCTATTCTATTACATTATTCCTTTTAGAACTTCACACATTCAATACAATGAAATCAAAGTGCCATTTTTGGTCCCCTGCAGATGTAAATGGGTAGAGTGATATAGGCCATAATCTTCAGGTTTATTGGAATTCTTTAAATAAATGATTGAAAATACAAGTTAATTTAAGTGACTAAGAGTCAGATAGAAAATGAAGCTCTTGTTAGGAACATATTAAGAAAAAGAAAAGGAGCATACATACAGCTTTAGGGTGTGGGGAAGGGTATCTCAACATGTGGGTAAAATACTATAATCTGGAGCAGCCAGTACTTTAGAGAAAACCAGAAAAGCCTAAAATGTAAGCAATCAGCAGAGGGAAATTTATTTTGCTTTTATTCAAAATATAGCCAAATATACCCTTAGAATAGACTGTTTCCATTAAGATCAAGGTTAGATTTGGATTCAATGGGCAATGCAAAGCAATAGTTTATTTTAAACCTCTTCCACATACAATATTTAATTTTGAGATTAAATGAAAAATTATTCAAAAATTTGATTCATCTAGTAAGCTTATAGAAATTAGTTCACTGACATGTATTGTGCTGGCTGGTGGCTCAATTGGGAGAATGTGGTACTGATAATACCAAGGTCAAGTGTTCAGATCTCCATACTGGCCAGCTGCCAAAAAAAAAAAAAAAAAGAAGAAGAAAGAAAAAAACCCCAAGTTTTAAAGCGCATGTGAAAAGTGGTCAACCGATTAAAGTAGCATATTGATATGTTACAAGAAAAAAAAAAAGCATTTGTTTTTCCATATTGAGATATCATCTCACCCCAGCTAAAATGGCTATTATCAAAAAGACTGAGAATAACAAATGCTGATGAGGATTTGGAGAAAAGGGAACTCTTCTACACTGTTGACGGGACTGTAAATTATTACAGCCATTATGGAAAACAATATGGAGGTTTTCAAACAACTGCAGATAGAACTACAGTATGACCCAGCAATCCCACTTCTGGGTATATACTCAAAGGAATGGAAATCACCACATTGAAGAGATACCTTCACCCTGATGTTGATTGCAGCTCTATTTACAATAGCCAACATATGGAACCAACCTAAATGTCCATCAACTGATGACTGGATAAGGAAAATGTGGTATATATACAAAATGGAATACTACTCAGCCATAAAAAGAATGAGATTGTCCTATTTGCAGCAACATGGGTGAGCTTGGAGAAAAGTATGTTAAGTGAAATAAGCCAGACACAGAAAGAGAAATACCACATGTCCTCACTAAGTGGGAGCTAAGAAAGAAAGACCACAATAAAACGTTGAACTTTCGGGAAGAGAGAACAGACATATAGTTACTAGAGGTGGGAAAGGGGAAGGAGGAGAGGGGATAGGGAGTAATTGGGTAAGGGACAGAAAGAATAATTATGATTTGTAATGATGAACATGCTAATAACATTGATTTGATCATCACATATTATACGCAAATACTGATCGTCAACTCTGTACCACATAACTATCTATAATCAATTATGTTTCAATTCAAAAAATAAATTAAAAAAATAAGTGAAATAGCAAAAAAAGAAAGCATTTGTTTTTATCAATAAAGTTTATAATCTTTTAAAGTCTCTTTATATAATAAATAAGAAGTTCTCAGAAAGAATTAAAAACAAATGACATTCGATTTAACGTTCAAAAGTGAGAAAAAAGAATAAAATAGGCTAACTGCTCTCATGAATTTTCATGGATTCATAGAAAGTTTACCACTGAAGAAAAGAAGCCTTTTAGGTTATCAAATCAATGAATATTAATTGAACATTAACCATAAAGGATACCATAGTAGTCTCTATGGAAATGGAAAAAGGGTGAGATGAAAGACTTTTTATGATCATTACAATATTATCTCCTCCACAGAGATGTTTATAATGAGAACTGAAAATAAATGAATGCCACTGTTTTTCAACTTTAATGGAAATGGAAAAAGGGTGAGATGAAAGACTTTTTATGATCATTACAATATTATCTCATCCACAGAGATGTTTATAATGAGAACTGAAAATAAATGAATGCCACTGTTTTTCAACTTTAAAAAAAATGTTTATTATCAAACAGCTTTAGTGTTTTATTAGTTTTTCATTCCACTTAAGAACATAGCACAAAGGAAAAAAACAGAAAGGTTAATGAGAACATAGCCTTATATTATAAAATATATTATAAAATTATATTCTATAATTTTCCTTAGAAGGGATAAATAAAAATTCCTCAGAAGACTAAAATAAACATTGATTCCTTAAGAAAGTAATCAGACTGTTTGCCTACAGACTATTGTTCATGGAGAGGTGATTTTTGACAGCCATTCAGGATATGTCATCACATCGTAATGTGTTGGCAAACCGCTTGTCAACACAAGTCCTTATCACAGGCTGTTAATTGTTAAAATGAAAGCCAAGCCTTCTGATTACTACTGGTGAAATGGTTTGTGGTTTCACATGCCAGCTTTAACACAATAGGACTGAGTTGGTATTTAAAAATGGTTCTAACAAGTCTACCAAATCACTGGGAAATTTGAAACATGTAGAATGAGCAAACAAAACTGGGCGAAATTATGAGTATGTTATCTACTGATGACTCAGACATAAGCAATCTGGGGCTTTTTAAAACATATGTCCTCATTAGTTTCTAAGTTCAAAACATGACCCAAGAGAGAACCAAAAATGCCCATGAACAACCATTTAGTAAAGCACAGGTTAGGAATAGCAGAAATAATTGGCCATTTGAGTTGGGTTAAAATTAAGACAATTCTGTAAATCACAGAACTTTTAAGATCAAGATTTTAGCTTCACTTTAGAGCATTGTCAAGACTCAATGTCAAATTGACAATGACACTCAGGAGTATCTTTATTTTTCTAAAAGATTAATGATTTGACTTTACAACTGCACGAAGTAATGGTTTGTTTGTAAACACTCTGATGGTTGCTTTGTTCTAGTTTCTGATTTCTTTTTTGCCCATCACTACATGGAATGGGCTTATATGCTCTTAAAAAGAACTAAACTTGAATTTAAACACTTGAATCAAATTTACACCCTAGAATAAGGTGTAAGAGTACTCCACCTAACCTACTTATGCATAATCATGATATAATCCACAGGTCTGGAAGAAAACACAGAGGGAATCATTTTAGATGCTGGAGCTGCAAAGTAGAAGGTTAGCAATTTAGAAGGTCATTCATTTTTAACACCTGAATTACATGCTCTTCAGAGATGCTATAATCACACTGGGTTGACCCACAAAAGAAATTAATAGAATCTGAGAGAAATAAAGAAAATTCTTTTTAGTTCTTACTGGATTATAACATCTGCAAGTCAAGACAAAATCTCCTGTGCTCACATTCCAATGAACTTTAATTTTTATGGTGTTTTGTTAAAAACAGTGGTGACTAAAATAAAATAAAATAGAAATAATAATTATAATACATAAAGGTTCTTGCCATTCTCGCCATGTGATTGCCTGCACTGCCATCAGACTCTGTAGAGAGTTCCCACCAAGAAGAAGGCCCTCACCAGATGTGTCCCTTGGACCTCAGACTTCCTGGGCTCCAAACTTGCAGAGGTGCAAAGATAACTCTGAGATGTACCCCTAGGGTCTGCATTGCTTGCTCACGTGGGCTCATTCCAATATCCATCCTTATTGCTTAAGGAGAAATGGAGGGAGAACGTGTGATATAGCAAAGGCAACTATTTTGCCCTAAAATGATAGTCACTGGGGCTAAGCAGTTTTGGTTATGCAAGTACTTTTTCTTGACCTCAGAAATGTAAGCAAGGTGGGCAAGGTCTCAAGGATGAACTTCCATGGGAATTGGAGATGCCAGACAGGTACACTTCTCTCTTCCCAGAAAATGCACATCAGAAGATGTTCAGCATTTCCACCATAAGTAGGCTACCATTTTTCCATTGCATAACAACTTTAAGATGAGAGATTACTCTGATTCCCAAGGACTGTTTTCCATACACCAGCAAATTAGGCAACACAACAATAGGGTAGGGTGATACTTGTACAAGTATTCTGGATGTCTCCACACCCTTCGTGGATTTGGCCTGGTGCTTCTGCCAGCCACTCTCAGGGCAGTGGCATCTTACAATGTAACCATACCCAGGTGACAACCAATTGTATTTTTTAAGGGTTCACTTTAATTAAAATTGCATTTATTGATTAATTTAGGGGCAAAAAAGAAAAATGTCAGTTCTTTCCTCCTTCCTTTTATTCCCCTCTTTTTTTGAGATTTCACCTTGTAAGTGAGAACACCTGATAAACGTAAAAGGTGAAGAGGCTGGACATACATAATACCACTTTGGACCAAACCAAGCTTTGGAATATCAGCAACAGGGACTGGCTTTTGCTTAGTACCTTGTAGCTCATGGAGTATTTCCACTTATATTGTTCCATTATATCTTCATGACAAAACTGATATATAGGTGGTATTATTTATATGTTTAAATGAGAAAAGGCTTTGGAATATCAGCAACAGAGACTGGCTTTTGCTTAGTACCTTGTAGCTCATGGAGTATTTCCACTTATATTGTTCAATTATATCTTCATGACAAAACTGATATATAGGTGGTATTATTTATATGTTTAAATGAGAAAATGGGCTCAGAGATGTAAATAAACTTGTCTAAAATCACAAAAATAATTTGAGGGTCCGCATCTTTTTACTCCAAATCTTATGCTTTTTTTACTCTTTTTCTTAGCTGTTGCCTATATAACTTAATGGTGGAAAGTTCTGGTCAAACAGGTCATCAATTAATGCAGTAAATATTGAGTACTACTATGT